ACAGTTATTATTGCTGAAAATGGTCCTTCGTAGCTGTCATGGTCCCTGAGCCCTCTTTTCTTGAGCTCCTTTTTTCTCTCTCCACTCTTTCTGTGTTTGCTCGTTCTGTTGTGCTTGTCTGTTTCAGGGGATGCCCCTCCTCCTTCCTGTCGTTCAGTCACTTGTCAACAATCAGCTGATTGCTCCCCTGCTCCTCATGAGGTGTCCATGCTGGCTTCTCAACAACCATATCATTGCACCACCACGGTAACATATCAGGCCACAGTCATGTCACAGTTTCCATCAGTTCTTGTCTTTGCTCACACTCTGTTTCTGTGCAGACCTTTCAGCTTGTTTGGATCCCTGCCATCTTCTGTGACAGTGTCCAAGTGTGCTTTCAGACAGCCTGCAGTACCTCTGCCCCGTCTCCTGGAGCCCACAGTGTTTATCCTGTATTCATAACTATCTGCAAATAAACCTGTGAAACTGTAGCACAGTGTCTCATGATCATTCTGTTGTTTTCATAACAGTACACCTATGTAGATATTTCACTAAATATGATTCGTGATTTGTGATAAATGTTACCATTAATCTTTTATATTTCTTTATACTTCTGATTGATTTAGTAAAACTTTTGAGCTGTAGTCTAGATTGCAATAATAGTCATTGTTTATAGTAGATGATATAGAAGTATCAGGACATGGAGTGAATAAAAGTTATGAGCTGTGTGGCATCAGAGAAAGTTGCTGACTCTGGTGATTCTTTGAGCTTCTAAAAAAAAATGGGAGGCTGAGCCTTCAGCTTTCCTGTCCCTCTCCTGTGTAACCAGACATGCTCTGTTCTTTTAAAAACTAAATTCATAACTTTGCTTTTTGATCAATCGTATAGCTACAGCTGGATCAGCTGACCCTGACCCATCCTTTAGTAATGCTCTTATAGGCCACAACTGCTGATGAACTTCCCATCATGCACTGAGCACTTCTGCTCCACTTCTGTCTTTTACTCTCATTGTGTTAATTTATCACTACTGCATGTCAGTAACGTTGGTTCTCTTCCTCCCATCATGTGTTTTGTCCTGTCCTCTTATGCTCTTGATTTTCTTTCTTATTGTGTCTTTTCTTTCATCTTAAACCATTTGCCCATCCTTGAGCCACATTCTGCTGAAGGTTTCTTAAAAGGTAGTTTTTCCGTCACACCATCCCCAAGTGCTTGTTCATAGGGGATTTTTTTTTTATAACTTTTTATTTTTTTAATTTATAGTATGAGAATACAAAACTTTAGGTCAGCATGGAAGACATACACATTCCCAACATTAGTATCTACTTACATCATGGTAATATTCAATTGTTCAGTACAAAGGGAGTACACAATCCATTTTTCCCAGAGCTTCTTGAATTTCTCAAGCTCAAGTCTAAGGACAAAGGTAAGTCTTTCCATTCCAAAAATGTCTTCCACTATCCCATGCCACTGGGCCCGAGTTGGAGGGTCTGCCTTTAGCCATCTTCGGGTTATGGCCTTTCTGCTGCTAGTCAAAAGTATTTTCAATAAATAATTATCTTTATGTGGAAGTGCCTTAGGTAAATTGCCAAGATACAACGTATCAAATGAATAGTCTAATTTTATCCCGATTATTTTGTTTATCTCAATGGCCACCTCCCCCCAATATGGCTGGATCCTTGGGCAGGCCCAGAAGACATGAAAATGGTTTGCCATGGGGGTACCACAACTTCTCCAACATAGGCCCTGGCTCTGTGAGCCTGTTTGCCGAGCTGTGAGTTTAGGAGTGATAAAGAATACATAGGGGATTATTTGATTGTTGGAGTTTGTCTCTATTATTTTAAGGTCTTTTATCTATTATATCTAACAGCTATTATTGTGAATTGGTGCTTTATAAATCAAATGGGCTCAAATTGAACTTGTAACTCCTATTCAAACCTAAAGTCGTCTCACTCAATTTGGACATCCAGTGTAATAAAATACCACAATATCAACCAAAAATTAGAAGCATAGCCAGCAGCTGTTATATTTAATATTTGCTTGTTTCCTGTTGAAATATGAAAATGTTTTTTCATTGCACGTGACTGTCTCCCAGCAGGTTACATTTTCTACGAATCAGGAGTTGAAAAAATGCAACTTCATCCTCTGTGTCGCTGTTGTTTCACCTGTGCTCAGTGATTGGTAGAAACAGACGTCATATCTGTCGCGAGCTCCGCCGTGGAGTATAAATACAGGGACCAGCGAGCGTGCTTTTTCAAACCAGGGGAGAAATCTTTGAGGAGTTCTTGCTTCAACAGTGTTTGAACGGAACTTCATGTCTGCGTCCCGCTTTACATTTCAACTACAGATAAATTCGACGTAATTCTTTATTTTTGTACCATTTTTTTTGTTAATCAAAACCACAAGAAATGCCAGCTGAAATGGAGTCCCAAGTGCGTCAGAACTACCACCGCGACTGCGAGGCCGAAATCAACCAGATGGTGAACATGGAGCTGTTTGCGTCTTACACCTACACTTCTATGGTGAGAACACAGAAATAGTCCATCATCAAAGCAGACTCTTTTCTGAGGAATCTAATGTTTACTAATTTTAAATGACGGCACTGTGTGCTGTTTAAATTTGAAATCATTTTATAACGAACATTAAGGTTAAATGGCACAGCTGGAACAGGGATGTAATTGTGGCACACTAAGATGTATTGTGTTAATGCAGCTTTTTAAGAATTGGCAGCTCATTTTTAAACAGTATTAGATATTGACTCAGTTGGGATCTAGAGTGAAAGTTTAAAGGTCACAATGTGAATTGTTCGTCCACCAATAACTAACAGCAAGATTAAGTGTACGTGACATTCTTACTGGGGTCTTAGTCTGTATTTCAGCAGTTATCTCAGTCTACACCGGCTAAACTATTGGTGATGAATCATGTCTGTCTCCATAACTGTTTGCCACCATGCTTTATTTGCAGAATAATTGGTGCTGTGTACTAATAACCTGTGTCTGATTTCTCAGGCCTTATACTTTGACCGTGATGATGTGGCCCTTCCAGGCTTCTCTCACTACTTCAAGGAGAACAGCCATGAGGAGAGGGAGCACGCTGACAAGCTGCTGTCCTTCCAGAACAAGAGAGGAGGTTGCATCTTACTCCAGGACATCAAGGTGTGTACAAGCTGAACTAGTCCTGTTGTGACATACCGGACTGAGTCTCTAACACAGAAACTGGGATTAATGAGCAGTGTTATGACACTTCTTCTCTTGTTGTTGCATTAGTGTGTACACAAAGCTTAAGAGTGTTCAGTCTATAACAGAATTGTTTGTTGGGCAGAAACCAGAGTGTGACGAGTGGGGCAGCGGGCTGGGCTGCAGTGTGCTCTGCAGCTGGAGAAGAAAGTCAACCAGGCTCTGCTGGACCTGCACAAGCTGGCTTCTCAGCATAATGACCCTCATGTAAGTGGGAGTAGGAGGGAAGA